GGGCGAAAACCGGGGGAACCCCCAGATTTACGAGGCAGGTAGATGGCGATAATATTGGATGGGCACGGGAGCATGCGGCGTTTCGGGTTTCCTGTTCATTAGGGCGAGGTCTGGGAGTGTCGTGCCCTTCTGGGGGGAAGGTTTTTCCGTTTCCAGGGGATACACATGGTAAAAACCTGGGTAGTATAAAAGTATCTGAACTTATTAGAAATTAGAAAAACATATTTTATTGAATCCATATGCTACCGTCTGCATTTTCAGAGGGGCTTTATTAATGATTGAAACGCATTCTTAAACAGCACAAAGCAACATTTGTCTTAAGAGAGTCCAGTCGGAGATTTTCTGTTTTATCTTACAGGTGCACTGAAATAACAGCAAAAAACAGTTAACCACAGTCAGGTTTTTACCCGCCTACTTGTTCAGAAATGACGGAGATAAGATTTTTGTTTCCAGTAACGACTTTTAATTGTTTTTTATAGATATGTGTGTACATATATATATTTTTTTTAGGACAGCAGCAAATACTAAATAAACTGGAATAGCTTTCATGTTTATGAAATACAGAAAAGTATTTTATTAGCTTGCAGTCAGGAACTCAGCTCATCAGTAGGATATTGTTTTTTTAAATTTGACTTCAAGAATGAAGTTTTCTGATAAAAGGCATGCCAAGCTAAGAAGGGCATTTTTATGTTAAAATCACCTCATTGGTTAATTAATCCATTTTCTCCAAAGAAGGGTCTAAATCTTCAACCTTTGGGTTGTGATCTTTTTTGTTTTGTTTTAGTGTTGCTTTGGGAGGTTTCTGGTGGTGGTGGGGAGTTAGTTGTTGTTTTTTTTTTTCCCTCCCAGAAATGAGCTCGTAGTTTCGTTTCTGCTTTCAATAAAGAAGTTTTACTATACCTTTCAAAGACAGAGTAGCTCTCGCACTTCACCTTTAGTAAGTTGCAGACAGGAAGTCCCGTCTCAATAAAGACCATATTGTTGGGTTACAGCATGGCACATTGGCTTTTATAACTGCATCCGTGCGGTGTCATAATTGTATCACCGTGGATTTAGCTTTCTAATTTGCTGATACTAGAACGATTCACCATTTTCTACTGTGAGTTGAATCTTCAGTGGCAATTTGCCTTTCTGTACGATTTGGTCTTCCTGAGTGGAGGTGGTGTTTGCGTATCTCCAGGAATACATTTCTAACTAATATCTCAAACGGGCTTTAAATGCGTGTACTGCTAAGGTAAAGTCTCAAAACCAAATGATTTACTGTCTAACAATAAAGTCGAAATGATGTGGTAATAGCTCTACTCCCAAAGCGTATCCCCAAACATACGAAGCATTGTTCCAGTAAATGCACTTTAGAAATCTGTTTTGACATATCGAATGGGCCATTTCATGGCTATGTAACTATAATCGTCCAAAAGGACTCTGTAGGCTAAAAGGAAGAACGAGAAAAATCCCACGAAGCGGTTACTTTTCCTAAACAACCATTCCCGAGTCTGTTTCGTATTAAAAATGACCTCTCTCTTTCCATGTTCAGGCGGATGTTTCCCGCGATGAGAGTGAAGATCTCAGGTTTAGACCCACATCAGCAGTATTATATTGCTATGGATATTGTGCCAGTGGATAACAAAAGATACAGGTATGGTGACTTTCAGGCAAAAAATAATCTGATGCAAGCTGTAGGGAGCAAATAGGGAAGAAAATGTTAACACGATATAAATTAGCAAAAGATCATGTTTAACTCTCTGGAAAGATTTCTGTTTTCATCCTAGTGCATTTAAAAAAAAAACAACACAAAAACACTGCACCAAGTGTGCAAAAGCAACTAAGATTTCTGTTGAAGCTCTTTACGATATATTTGCCTCACATTGTGTATCTACTGTTGGCAGATGCTTGGGTTTTGGCTCTCAGAGTGCAGTTCTAGTGTGGTCAGGAAATGTTACCATATTATATTCCTCATTCTGTTAGTGGGAATTATTTTCTATTAACAAATAATTAAGAAAATGTACATTTTCTAGTGCTCATTGGCATTAACATTAATAATATTAATGTTAGTATGTTAATATGGATGTCTGATTTAACTACGTATAAGTTTTCTTTGTCATGCTTGAAATTGATTATATAATTTAATTTAAAAGTTATTTATCACTGAGATATTTGGTTCCTTAGATTAAAAAAGGGTAATGTTTCTAATTACTGTTTTTTACAGAATTAATGGTATTATTGTCTGAAAAATAATTTGAGGAACCAAAGAGGCTGTTCTTCAAACATTTAGGAGTAGGCAGAGCTGAAGCTCTCACTGTTTCGACGGTAGTCTTTTGAGGGAGCTAGTTAGACACTGCAGAAACCTCTGGTGCTGCAGAAATGTTTGCAGGATAGAGCCCGCAGCAGTTACTGTTGTGAGTTGAAGTTGTTTCGTAGGTGTTGCTTCACAAATGCAATCCCATAGTAGCCAGAGGGAGCCTGGCCAAAGCAGTTCAGCGGAGACAGGATCAGGTCTTTACCAATTGCTGGTTTGATTGTTTTAACCTATACTTAGTATAATGTAGGGAAAACCACTGCAGATTTAATTGCAGAACTAGAAATATTTCAGACCAAGACTAAAAGGTTGGTTCTGCAGGAATGCTGCTTTGTTTCCTAACCAAACACTGCCCTGTGTTTTTCCTGTACTTAACTCATTGACTTCTATTTTGTTATTTTCTCGTGTGGTGTATAAGATCTTTCTTAGGACCATTTTAGATTTTATGTCTTTCAAAAAGGGACAGATAGCAGTGCTAAGGATGCCCAGCATATACAGTTAGGGGAGACTTTACTGACTGTACCATAGAGGAAGAATGCCTTTTTTCTTTGGACCAATGCAGTACAGTTCAAATGAAAATCTTTTCTTGCCTTGTGTTGCATGTGTGCATTTACTTAACAATCTAAACATATAATTCCTAGAAGATCTGAGCAATTCCTAAATTCCCAGAAAAAACAATGTAATAATTTCAAATTAATTAAAATGTTAATATTAAAAATTAAAAGCAGTTATACTGAATATGAGTTATTTAAACCTAATTTCATATAAAATAATTACAGTCATAATGACCTGCACTGTCTGCCCAGTATGATACGTGGTGCTCAGCTGAAGTAACTTAACAAGAGTTGTATGAAGGGCAGTATTTTCTTAGTTGACAGATATAAATTTCTGTAGTTATGTAGTAACCACACTTTTAGCTATTTTGCTAAATATTAATATTTTACAATTTTACTTGATGTAAAGTTCATTCTTTGCTGTGCTTTTTATTACTGACTGTTAGTTTAACTCTGGCTGTTTGTGCAGCTTCACAAACCGTCTTGCAAATTTTTAAATTTCATAGACATGACAGCAGTTACATAGAGCCTAGTCTTTAGCTGACAGAGCAGATATCAAAACTAAATGTAAATGAAGAAAATTATATCTAGGTACAGATTTCTAGGAAAACTGGACCTTGTAAATACTTGGAAGCTTAAGTTGTTGCTCAAAATGTTTTATGTGTATTTATAACTTTATTTGCTTTTGTGGGGAAAGCATATAAACCAAGAAATACAAAATAAATGGAAAATGTTATAACAGTGATCTGGGGCTGAGAATTTGTCCCCAGGAGAGAATTTCACCACCATTCCAGATCTTAGTTATGCAGTTTGATCTGAATTGTATGAACCGATACGTGCATTGGATCACTCAGTTTTTTGTTCCGATTATGTTGTTTTTCTAATAAAGAGCTGAATTGTACAAATATATTTGATAAAGTCTTTCTTGTTTTTATTAAAAATATAGCTGAATTACTGGAATTTTACTGTACTTGAATAAAATAACTTTCAATTAGTGCTTTTTAAATTGCTCTGCGAAATGTCCGCCTTCAAAATAAATCTTCTACCAAAGTAGGCGCTATTTTTGCTATAAAATTACTTTGTCAGCATTGGCCTATCAAATGAAATACAGACTCTGTGTTTTCATTTTTAAGCCTTTATGCAATACTATTCAAGCCAATTAGTATGGTCTGTGGAAATATCAGGAGCATAGTTTGACATACTTTCATTATTTTTCCCAATCATAGTGTTCTTTCCCTTCAATGGCTTTATTTATAGATTCTTATATTAGACTCAACATGTTAAATCTTCCAAATATGGAATTACTACTCGATTTGATAAATGAAGGACCAGATTCTTCCCTCTTTGCTGATGCCTATTCAGAGCAGAGCTGTAGCAATCAATGAACTGACACCAGCTTAAAGCTCAGTGTGGAGTATTAAGACTGATTGATTTTAGGAAGACTTAGGTCAAATCAGAGCATGGTTTTTAACCTCATTTTTGCTGGTGCCAGAACTGTGTTTTGAAACTAAAAAAATTACTTTTATTTACGTAGAATTATGTCCTTTCATGTTTTGATAATTGATGGGTTCTTGCTGTATGCAAGGGCCCTAATGTATTAATACTGAATGGATCTGATGAATTGTTTTGTGGTTATAGGTGTTTGTTTTCCTTTTGTAGGTATGTTTATCATAGCTCCAAGTGGATGGTCGCTGGTAATGCTGACTCCCCAGTTCCGCCTCGCGTTTATATTCATCCTGATTCACCCGCTTCTGGGGAGACATGGATGAGACAAGTGATCAGCTTTGACAAACTGAAGCTTACCAATAACGAGCTGGATGATCAAGGGCATGTGAGTACTTGCTCTTCTGCAGTATTATATGTAGGCGCGTTGCTCAGCCCTGAAAGGCTCTGACGTACAGCTTCAGGGTGCCAGAAATAGGCTTGACTTTTCAAAGTTATTTTGGAATTTTACTGTCCAGGTCTAAAATCTGCTTACTTTCTGCTCCGATAATTAACTGCTTATTAGACCCTGCTGTTTTACTCCCCCGCCCTCAAAAACAGAACTCCTTCTGCACAGTAAGACTTTACAAGGTTAAATTGCCTAATACAAAGGGGCAGAATTGCTCTCATGTTTTCCCACCGAGCGTGTTACTTGCAACTTCTGCTCTGATCGAAAAGGACACTTAAATTCACAAGTGGCTAGAAGAAACATTAATAGTGTGTAATAACTTCACATGAATAAAAATACACTTAAGTATTTTCTTAACCTAAACATTTGTGTGAAATCCCACGAGGTGTTAATAATTGCAGTCAAAAACGAACAACATGGGAGCTGGGTTTGCTCCGATGATGATTTATTACATACCTTATGAAGCAAGACCCTTTCACAGCTGAGGCTCATTACTTCTGAAAAAACTGGCGAAGACGTATGCAGTATGAGTGTTCTGTTTGCAAGTTCTAAATTGTTTAGTTATGACATTATCTAATGTGACAAAATGTGTTATGTTAATATTTCCTTTTCTCTTCAAAACTGTTGAAACATGACAGATGTAAGCCAGTATCATTCCAGCAATCCCTAAAATAGTTTTACTTGACACCTTAAGAAATAATTAAAAAAGGAGAATTGTTTTTAGTCAGGATGAAGTCTTTGATTTTACAAACTCCCATAATAAATGGCAAATGTTGGCATCCTTTCAGAAGGAGCATCAAGTTCCAAATGGTAGAGTTTTAAGATGTTGGAGGCAAGTTTCGAGACAGGATGTGGATTCCATTGTCCTTAGCATAACCCGATTTATTAACCAGGATAGTTTCTGCTTCAAGGAAGGGAGTGAAAGAAAGCATACCTGGAACAGAGTACAAAGATACTACATGCATCTTTTTGTATAGCTGTAACTCTGTGACACTGAACCAGGTATTTTGTTAATGCCCAGTCTTAAGTTTAAGTATGAGATTTTTTCCCCCATTTGCGTTTGCAAATGAGATTAACAAAGGCAGGAATATAAGAGAGTGGCTGAGCTGAGGTAGCAAATACGATAACAAGGATAAAAAGCCTTCCATTTGTATAATAATATTAATAATTTTATTTTATTCTTCCTTCAAAGAAATGTGGGGGTATTCATGTCTCTTATGTTAGCAGTGCTTTTCTTTAGGCTAATAAGAAAGATGTTTTATATTGCTTCTTTCCAGAATTACAGTTAGGGAGTGTTATTTGGCAGTGTCCATTTGAGTCAGGATTAGCACACTAAGTTCCCTTAGTTTCCCCAGCATTTGTGTATTTGTGACTCCTCTTGAGTGGGAGTTGCTTTCTCTGAGTCGTGAGTCTATTATAAGGGCTCTAAAAGTGAAGTGGATGCAAATGGCTAAAGTGTTGCTTTTCCACCAGTGAGCAGGCCAGCTGTTTGTGTACTGCCTCATTTCAGAGGGGCGATACATGGGTACTGTGATCTACCCGTGCACTTGCAGTTGCAAACTGCCCTGTGATGAAATCTTAGCTATGCAGAGAATTGTATTACTGTATTTTTCCATTCAAGATTTTAGCTTTGTTTTTGTTCTGAACTGAAACCTGTGTAGTGTATACAGCACACCATTATTCATAATATGAGGGGATATAAATTTTCTGGTCTTTAGTTAAGTATTTCGACTTGGAAATGAGTGAAGCAAAACCCGAGTGCAGTGATTTGAGACACATTGAACTGATTCAGAGCTATGGCAGTGTCCCTCCTCCCCAAAGTAGAAATTTAAGTATTAAAATAAAAGGACAAAAGAAGGATGACTGTAAAATAATTTCATATTTCTCAAATCTGGGAAATTGCAAACATGTCATTCATAATTACCAGAAAAGGCAAAAGCAGAAAGCAGAAAAGTGTCTTTTCCAATGGGTACATTTTTTCTTTTAAAGCTATGGCAGTGTGGAATGCTGTATTGAAAAAGCTGTGTAGCCTCTGAATGCCTCTGGCAATAATGGAAAACGAATAATCATATTTTGTGATGAATATGAAAAGCAATTGTTTCTCATAAGCAGGAAGGAACCATTTCTCTCAAGAGGCTACTAGGGGAGAGATGAGGAATTAGAAGAACCAGGGGTCAAGGCTCTACTGCCCCTCCAATATTTGTTCTTACATCAAGTGTTCTGACTCTTCCACTCCTGTATGGGACACGAAGTATATTTTATATTATTAGAAAGTGAGTTTTTTCCTCTTCTACTTAGGTAGAGTGGCTCAGAGAAACCTTGGCGGGGTCTCTACCAAGCAGTGTTGGGCTTTAGTTCTTTGGGTGTGCTTTCCCTGCTCTCTGGTTCTGGTAGTTTAATCCTTGCTGAAATTGTTCCTTTACTCTTCCTGTGCTCCTCAAAGGCATAAGCCTTTGCAGAATTTTTGTGTTAAAATCCATGGGGTAGGTTTTGGTCTTGTAGGGAGCTTGCATGACAACAATCCAGAGCCTTTTTACCTATGTTAGAGTATTAACTGTCAGAATCTGTGAGAGAAGTGTGGGAATGGGGAACACACAGTATTTGCAAACAGGCACTGAGTAGTACTCTTAAACAATATTTATGTTGTGGTAGTAGTTCCAGGTGGCCAGCTGCCCTTGCAGTGTATTGCTCGGAGGTTAGCATCTTGTGAAAGGAGATCAACCATCTCTGAGATGACTTGCTTTGCTGCTCAAGTGCTTTCCAGTCTCCTTGTTGCCTGCTGCTGTTTTCAACAGTATTTTGAGTGGGAGTTTGTGCGGATGCAATTTTATAGCTCTGTTTTGAGGAGAGATTTTGAAGTACATCTGCATATAGGACACTCTGATATATGGGTTTCACTGGCAGGCTTGAGAAGATCAAGCAAAATTTGTAAGGATGTGTTTTCCTTGTGTGTTTTTGATCTCAAAAGAAAGTTCCAGGGTGAATTCCCTACTTTGGAAATACTGTGTTCTTATAGAGGCATTAAGACTCACACTGTGGCTTTTGTGTCTTTCATCTAAATAGTGATGGCAAGGAAAAGTAAAGCTGGATTTTGCAGTTGTCACTTAGAAGTGGAGTAGTGCATGGTCTGGATGCTCTTTTTTAATGCCTTTCATCCCTCTCTCATTTGTGGACTAAGTGCTGCATTGTAAAAGCAGTCTCTCCCTCCGGCTGGTTAGAGCTGGCTGATTTTTGTGTTTCAATGCAGTTTTTAATCTGAATTTCAGTAGAGGGGAAAAGTCAATATTTTTTATGCTATTTTCCATGCTTTTCAACTGAGTATTTTTTGATGCAGAGGAACATCTTTTAACTTCTAGTGAAAATGAGGCTGTTAGCGTGTTAATTGTTCCTTGGTGGTTGGGGTGGGTTTTCTTCCCCATTTGAAAGTGGGGTGAGGCTGGAAGCAGAGGCGGACTGTTACTCTGCCCAGACTTGGCTCCAAATAGTGAACTCTGCTTACAGTCAGTGGGTAGTTATATATTCTTGTCACAATGAAAAGCTGTGAAACATCAGCATTTGCACTTGCAGATTTTGTCCTAGTCAAGAGGAAATCCGTGCTCCTCAGCCCCACACTTCCCTGACTGCAGAAAGCCTGACTGCATGTGCTTTGGAGAGAGGATGAAAGAGGATTTTTAGTAAAACCAGCAGCAAGGACCACACTGGTGGTGGGGAGGTAACTGTGTAGTCTTGGCACTGCCAAGCTGCCTGAGGATTGGCATCTCCTCTGCGAAGGAGCATTCGGCTCTCACTTGTTCTGGCTGTGATGGTTGTGCTCATGGTCAGCTCTGAGGCCTCATCGTGGCAGCAGCTCTCAAAAGCCATGTTGTAAAGGTAATCCCAGCTTTGTGCGTGTACAGGTGCTTTTGGTCACCTTTGCTCTGCCACCTACCTGTGGTCTTCCTGCTGCGGCATTTTCCGTCTGATAATGATTTCTTGTCAGCTGCTGTGGCCAAAGTTTAATTTTACTTTTGGTGGGAGAGGTTTATTTCCCCATGAAGTTTTTTTGGTCTTGCCCTGTGAGGGGTTTATAGAGAGAGGCAGGCTTTTCAACTGTGAGTTGAAAGTAATACCAGTTCATGTTTGGGAACACAGTGGGACTTCTGATTGGTGTTTTTGTTATTGGATTTTAAGGCTATGAAGGGAAAGTTGCTGTTTCTGAAGCTAAACTGTTAGATCCCGTTTGTGCTTTTAAATGTGCAAGGACTGTGAAATGAAAAGCCGGAATCTCCTTTTCCTTAGCTTTTTCTTTGCAGTAGCTTTAGGTGATGCTTAGAATAATACAGCTAAACTGTTTTCGGAGTGGGTGTTTCATCTCCCTCTCCTTTTATGTCATATCTTTGTAGTGTTGCTCTTTAATTCAATTATGTATTATTTATTTAGAATTCAGAGTCCTTCTGATCATTAACAAAGATTCCATCATTATAAGGCATAGTACAAAATCAATTAAAAAAATTTATTGCTTTGGATTTGCTAGCTGCCAGCAGTGTGTCAGTGCAGGAAATTTTGGTATAGGACAGAGGCCAGACAGGTTGCTCTTAAGAGATGCCACAGATCAGTTTAGCTGCAATAGCCACCCAGATAAGCAGTGAGAGGTGTTCCTCTCCATGCTTCTTCCATGTTCAGCTACATGAGCAGAGCTGTTTGTAGCTGCCAGGGTTATCACTGCTGTGTGGGCAAGTGGTGGTTTGCACCACAGAGCTGATGGGATCAATCAGTTTGTGTGGGAGCAGAACATGGCATGCTCAGTGGCACCTAGGTGAATGGCAAGGCAAATAGCAGTGGGTTGGAACAGTGAAATGCCTTTCGTTGATCATTTCTTTTTCTGTTGCACCAGTATCTCCCGTGGTATCATTGGATATTCATAGGAAAACAGGGTCAGGAATGTCCTGTCCTCTCTGCATTTTCATTTTGTAGATATTTGCCAGTGGAGAGTTGAAATGAGTGTTGTAAAAGAGAGTACACGTTTGCATGATAAAAAAATCTTATTCTGTTCAAGATTTCAGAAACTGGAAAAAGGCTTCATATGAGAACATCCATAGGGCACTCCCTGAGCAAATTAATTGGAGCCTGTGATGTCATTTTCAAAACCTTACTCACAGGCTAATAAAACCCCTGATTATGCAGAAACTTGGCTTATCCAAAACAGGGTCATGTCATCTGGCCAGGACCAAGTGTATTAAACTGGCCAAACTCTAGTTTATCCAAATAAATGTAATAAATTCATCCAAATGTATATCATTTGGATGAATGAACTTCCATGGTCTCTAGCATAGGGGCTCTGTTGAGTACTTGTGCACACGCACATTCTGAGGCTACTCAAGGAGCAGGAAATTAAAAAGCTTCCCCAGAATGTTGATTAGTGGTTCCACAGGCCAATAGCCATAGGACTATTTATTTATTGAGTTACTAATTTCTTAAGGCTTCCAACAATAATAGTTGAACTTCCAATTTATTTTTTTTCTTGAAATCTTCTATTTTAATAGTGGTTAGCTGAAGTGGAGTAAAATATAGGAAAAATTCTGTATTTTAAACCTCCTCTAAAATTTAGGTGCAGTACCAAATGTTTTTTTGTGTTTAATTTTATGCATTATGAGTTCATATACTTCTATAATTTATTTTTGATTTTTTGTATGCTGGGAGGGGTTTGTTAATGGATATTCATTGTCTGTATTATCAATCTAGTTGTTATTAACACTTTAGGGGTTTGGATTTTGGTATCATTTTACTCTCAAGTTTATGCTTCTTCAGAATGTGAGAGTCTCAGCTTGTGTTCCAGACAAGATTTGTTTCTAGCCTTTGGGATATAAGGAGAAAATATTGCTCCACTAGCATATCCCAAAGGTTTCAAAAACAAAAGACAAATTTCTTCTGCTGTTAATCTGTTAGATCAAATTCAGACTTCAGTGGAAAAAAGTGACAAAACTTTGATAATTCCAGTGGGACCTGGACTTCACTCCGGATTTGTCTTTTTTTTTTTTTTT